ACACGATATTAAATGAGTATATTACGCATAATGAGATTATGTGAAATAGGGACACAAACACAATATATAGAATGATATTGTGTCTACCGATAGTCATATATAGAATGATCTTAATCCTGAGTTCTTAACAAACTCCTATTTATGGATTTGTGTCTTTTGTTTTACTTGGTATGGATTCTGAGATTCTGAATCATATTCCTTGTATTTTCGAAACATGATGAAGTGAATTGCCGAGAATGTAACTATAAAAGATGGAATCCATTCCTTCTTAAGAAAGAAGTAGATGAATAATTCCCTTGAAGGTTGATTCGGTACTTGGACGAGTAGGAGCTCTGATTAATGAATTTGTTTTATGAATCACTGTCCATTAGAGAATCAATGGTACTCAAGGATAAAGATGTAATTAGAGAGGTTAATAGATTTTAGCTAACTCTATCATTTATGGAGGATTGATTTATATGTAGTGACTATATCGAATGGACACTTCACAGTCTAGAAGTAATTTATGTCTATAATTATGAGAGTGTAATTTCAATTTAATAGTGGAGTAACTATTGGAATTAATAGAATTAATTAATTAATTAATTAAAGAGTTTAATTAAATATTAAATTTATTGGATCTCAGAATTATAGGTCCATGAGTCCCCGCGTCATCCTTGTAATTTAACAAGACGCTAATGGCAAAATGAGAATTTTAAAATTATGAAATTCTAAAATAAAACGCTCAAGGATCATTAATTGGGAATTAATTATAAATTAAATAATGTAATTATTTACGTTTAACTTTTAATTTTTAAACACACATATGAAGGTGGTCACATAGTGTGAACACACAACACATTTTGAATCCCTTTGGGATTCAAATTTCTTGTTCTCCATAGTTATCCAATTAACTTATTTGATAAGTTGTCCAATTTGAAATTCAAATTGATTAAATTTGTCTTAAATTTGAATTTGAATTTAAGTCAAAAATTAGACTGGAGGATGAAATTTTCCCCCATTCTTTATCTTTAAAATTGCACCTACCACAAGGAGGAAATCCTTTTGTGGTGGCCGGCCATATAGGATAAGGGAGAAAGTAGATTTTGTTTCAAAATCAAATTTGATGTTGGAGAAAATTAACAAATTTTATCTTGGAGATAAAGATAAGACTCCTTCTAGGAGTCTCACTACTACTCTATAAAATAAGAGATTGTAGAAAATTGTGAGATACAATTTTTCTCCTCTCCCTAGCATAGGTGGCCGAATTCTATAGGGTGTGGGAAGGAAAATTTTCTCCAAAATTCCACGTCGTGCATGTGTTGGTGTTCATGGAAACCTTGAGTGTTTTCGCTAATCCCGTTTTGTTTCAAGTGTGCCCACACACACATCTTCGTAGATTCAAGGAACTGACAAGGAAGATTTGGGTGTTCTAAACTTGCTTGGAGCGATGAACGTTCAAGGTCAAAGAATCGAAGATATCATCATGATCGGTCGCTTGGTAAATTAATTTGATTAATTTATTCGTGCATAAATTATTGTAATCTATAGAGTATATCAAAGTTTTATGAGAATTCTTTTGCAGATAAAGAATAAGGTAAAAATTTATCCTCCAGCCCAATTTTTAACTTAAATTCAAACTCCAATTTAAGTCAAACTTAAATCAATTTGAATTTTAAATTAGACGACTTATCAAATAAGTTAATTGGATAACTTTTGAGCAAGTAACTGAATCCCAGAAGGATTCACACTGTGCTATGCATTCACACCATGTGAACACATTCATATGTGTGTTTCAAAATTCAAATTTCATTTTAAATTTAAATAATCACATTATTTAATTTATAATTAATTCTCAATTAATTATCCTTGAGCGTTTTTTTTATAGAATTTCATAATTCTAAAATTCCCATTTTACCCTTAGTGTCTTGTAGAATTACAAGGACGACGCGAAGACTAATGGACCTATAATCTCGAGCTCCAATAAAATTGATAACTAATTAAACTCTTTAATTAACTAATTAATTCTATTAATTCCGAAAGTTACTTCACTATAAACTTGGAATTGTACTCTTGTAATTATGGACATAAAAATCGTCTAAACTGTAAAGTGTCCAATTGATATAGTCATCACATATAGATTAATCCTCCATAAATAATTCATCATTAGAGCTAAGTGAAATCCGTTAACCTCTCTAATTACATCTTTATCCTTGAGTACCGTTGATTCTCTAATGGATAGTGATTCATAAAACAAATTCATGAATTAGAGTTCCTAATAGTCCAAGTACCGAATCAACCCTCAAGGGAATTATTTATCTACTTTTTTTTCAAGAATGAATGGATTCCATCTCGTATAATAACATTCCCAACTAACCACAACATCATGTCTCCAAAATGTAAGGAATAGAACTCAGGATCTTGAAATCCTTACTGAGTAAATCAAAAGACAGAAATCTATAAATAGGAGTCTGCTAAGAACTCAGGATTAAGATTATTCTATATATGACCATCAGTAGACTCAATTAGAATTCTATACATAATGGAAATTATCAAAAATTCATATTGTGTTTGTGTCCATGTTCCACATAATCTCATTATGCTTAATATACTCATTCAATATCTCACCCTATTAACAGTGCGGATAACACTGTTCCATTCTAAATAGGAATGACATGTATTAGTAATATTTTAATTAAAGATCCCAAACTTTAATTAAATTCATTACGATTGTCGTTTTGATTATCATCCTTAAATATTATCCTCTCGCATATAATACTTATATACAATATTTAAGGTCACGTACATAATCATGGAATTTTCACTGATATTCATAAAATAGTCATTAATATATGCACAAAAAATAATGAATAAACTCTTATTAAATAAATAATAAATATCTCATTACATTTTATGTTTCTAGGACACCATTCCTAACAAAAGATGCAATTAAAACACGTAGTCAAAGTTACGAATTTCAAAATTTTAACTGTAATTTTCTCTTAAACTGTCAATCCAAAATAATATGAAATTTTGACAGGAGATTAACCATCAAATAATCTACAACATATCAAAAAATCAGCTTCAAACAGAAATCGTAAAATTAGAAACAAAAATCAAAAGAAAATAACAAAAAAAGGACAATTTTTGGTATTATATTTTCGTTCACCACTCTTCATGTTTAATCTTACATGAATATGGAGACTACCACTACCGTCTCTGATGTCAACAATGAAAAATATCCACCGGATACATGTGGGGAAGTGTCTACAGTGGTTTCGGATCAAATCTCCAATTCGACTCTAGTACAGGATTCGCCACGGGATAGCCTCACAATACTTCCGTCACGAACATGATCTTCATGCTCCAAGTCGATAACAATGATCACCATGTCCTTAATTGCTCACACCATGCATAGTTATCTCAAAGGGAGTGTCAAAACAACCACGATAAATCTACAACTTATAAACCTATGGAAGACTAGGAGAGAGAGAGAAAAGTGACAGAATTCCAACGTATTTTTGTCCCGCTCTATAGTTTGTGCCTTACTACCTAACTATTTATATTCACACCTATCATAAAAGAAGTAACACAAAATATGATTACTTAATCCGTCAAGATATAGAAAATATTTTTTAATATTTTTTAATAAGATATTTTATCTTTTCATTTATCGTAAACTTTATTTCAAATAAAATCCGAACGTTAACTTTTAGACTATGCATTATTATGTGCGCCTCAAAGTCCAGCACCAGCTAATATGAAACTCTGCACCGTGACTGCTATTTGCTATACTAGCCCTTCTAATTAATTTAGATCCAGCCCTCGGTGACTTATCAATCTTACATAAATGTGAAAGCTTTAAGGCCTAAAATTGGGACAACCAATAATAAAACTTTTGATGACTTATTTCATTAATTAATAAATAGCTAGAGTTAATTGGAAGCAATCGTCTAAATCATGAGCAATTACAACACGTATTAAAAATTTTATTTATCATCCGTACCACTATAGAAACCTCTATCGCCCCTTCATCATTCATGTTCTCTTTTTCTTTTTTAATTATAGATAAGAAAATGCTTCTTTTTTTTCCTATTTTTTTCTTTTCATTTTTTGTTTTGCTCTAAAAAAAACTTGAGAAAGAGAAAAATAGGCCAAAATTTGAGATGAATTAAAATTAATAGATCAATAATTTATATAAGTTAATAAATAGGCTAAATTACTGTTTTCATCCATAACTTATCTGGTTATGAATCATAACTTGACAAGTTATTGTCCATAACTTGTCTGGTTATGAATTATAACTTGACAAGTTTGTCCATAACTTATCTGGTTGTGAACCATAACTTAACAAATTATAGCCTATTAATTTCTATAACTAAAAATTAGCATATATAATTTTTTAAACTTTTCATATCGACATATTTTCTACTATTTTTCAAAAACTTTCTCGGAGACTTTGCCAATCAAATCAGATACCCATGATTCTCTTTTTTATATACAAAGATATTTATTATTCCTTCATTTTCCACCCTCCTTTTTGTAGACGGTGATTATTGCCCAAATTGATTCCACCAATGATTACGTAGCATGTAATATAATTAACTTTCAGCCAATGTGACCAGAAATTTACGCTGCATGATTTTACTTCAGTTATACACCGTCAAAAGTATGATAATGTATAAAATTCACGTGGTAATAACCATAGTGCCCATTTTTGAAAATATATTTTTACCCTTTCTTTAGACCAAAGTCTTACCTTTGCCTTATAAATGTTCGAAGACATCCTTGAACCCCACTTGCAATATTTCATGAAGAAAAGAAGAAAATAAAAAAGCATCTCCAAAAGCAAAATCTAACATATCCTTCCTCCAACTTGCTAGCCCCAGAAGGCAAACCAATTAGGCCCAAAGAAAGAATAAAAGCCATAAAAGCAAAAAAAACATAAATGAGTGATTGAACAAAAAATAAATAAATAAATAAAAATTGAATGAATGAAACACATAGAAAGGGAAATTAAAGGCAAAGAAGATTCTTTTGTTCTCATGATCATGATTGATTGCTGTTCAATTACAATTATTTTCCCTTTGTTTTTTTTTCTTAAATTTCAATCCAATGGCTGAGATCCACATCCTTTCTAGCAGACCCCACCAAAAATTATTATCACACTCTCCCCCCCACCCACCCAATTCACAGATCTACACCCGTCTTTTCATCTCTTCATTCACATTTATCTTCTTCTTCATCTTCTATATCCAGTTTTATATCTATATTCTACAACAATAACAAGAAGAACAGCTTGGAAGTAACAATTCTGATGCAGTACACAGGACCACAACAATAACTTAACCCCTCAAGAAAAAAAAAAAAAAACCATGATGATAAATATATAAAAAAATAATTATTATTATTATCAAGTGGAATCCTCGGAATGGTCATTCTTTTCCTTTTTTACCCTCGTCTGAATCCCATAATAACTGACATACCACCTGACGAACTTCCTCAACCCGGTGGACAAATCCGTCGTCGGCTTGTACCCGAAATCCCTATTCGCCAAGCTGACATTCGCGTGCGTGTACGGCACGTCCCCGTTCCGCGGCATTCTGATCACGTGTTTCTTGGCCTTCGTGGTCAGCAGGCTCTCCAAGATCCCGACAAGTTTGCCTACCGGCACCGGCGACGTGTTCCCGAGGTTGTAGATCCTCAGCTGCGCCGGGCCCCGCTTCTTCCCCCCGCTCCCCGTGCTCTTCTCCGCCGTGTCGAGCGCCCCCAAACACCCCTTCACGACGTCGTCGATGTACGTGAAGTCACGCGCCACCTCCTTATCATCCTGCGTTTTGTATACGTCAATTGTCTTGCCTTGCAAGATGTCCTTGGTGAAGAAGAAGTACGCCATGTCCGGTCTTCCCCACGGTCCGTACACCGTGAAGAAGCGCAATCCGGTGAGGGAGAGTCCGTAGATGTGATTGTAGGTGTGCGCGATTTCCTCTCCGGCCTTTTTAGTGGCCGCGTAGAGGCTCGCCGGTTGGTCGGTGCGGTGGAGCTCGGAGAATGGGTTGTCGGTGTTTAGGCCGTAGACCGAGCTGGAGGAGGCCCAGACTATGGAGGGCTGGGGATTGGCGGATTTGGAAACTTCTAGAAGGTTGACGAAGCCGGCAATGTTTGAGTGGATATACGATTGGGGGTTCTGCATCGCGTATCGGACTCCGGCCTGGGCGGCCAAGTGGAGGATATGGGTGAACGGGACGACATCGAAGAGCTTGTATAGGAGAGGGCCGTCGTTTAAGTCGCCGTCGACAATGAAGATCTGGTGCTTCGAAAGAAGTGCCTGAGATAAATAATAAAAAGATAAATAAATAAATAAACTCGAGTTTAAATATAATAACAAAATTTAAGCTTCCAGAAAGTTATATTACCTGGCGGGCGCGTTTTAGAGACGGGTCGTAGTAATTGTTGAAGTTGTCAAGTCCGAGAACGCCGTCGCCGCGCTTTTTCAAGGCCAACGAGCAATGGGACCCGACGAATCCGGCGGCACCAGTGACGAGTACGGAGAAGCCGTTCTGGCGGCGGGGAGTGGCGGAGTGGCGGACCTGCTTCTCCCAGGTGGCGCCGCCGCCGCCGTAGAAGGCGGAAGAAAGGAAGTTGTGGTGGTGGAAGCTGTGATGGGTATTGGGGGTGTCGGAAGAGGAAGAGAGAGGAGGGTAGTTGAGAGTGAAGAAAAGGATGAGGACAAGGGCGATCAAGAGAGTGGCGCGGAAGAGGAGCTTGGAGGAGGCGTTGAGGAGCTTTGTGCTGTTTACTCTCCGGATATAGCTGTTGTATCTCTCCAGCTTCATGGTTTTACTTGTATCGGGCGGTGACGCCATTATTGAAGATAATGTTTATATAATTCAAGTTTTTGTTTTTGAGTTCTGTGGGGGCTGGGCTCGGAGATTGTGATTTGTGTTTGTGTGTCAGAGAGAGAGAGAGAGAGCTGATGAGGTGAGATCGAGCCCTGAAATTGAGAAGAGTAAGAAGAGATTAATATAAAGAAAATGAGGAAGAGAGAGACAGAGACAGAGAGGGAGAGGGAGAGGGAGGGGTTGGTGTCGGTTGGAGACCACTTTCTTTTTTATTTATTTATTTTTCCTTCTTCTTCATAACTCGCCTTCCTTATCTTACAGATGGAAAGTGGCGAGGGGAAAATAATTTTAAAAAATAAAAAATAATAATGGCTTATAAATGAAGACAATAATATGGACCCCGATTGTCAATGTTATTAAAGTATTACCACAATGGCGAAAACCATTGTAGTGGAAAAAAAAAAAAAAAAAAAAAAAAAAAAAAAAAAGATCCTAGTTGCTGAAACATGTTAACTTTTAATGCGTTAATACTAATCATTGTTGATTTGGTATGGAAACACTTTGTAATTATATGATATGATAGTGTATATCAGTAATGTTAGTATGACTATTGACTAATGCCAACGGTAACTCTTGTGCTTTGCGTCACTTTTTCAATGCCAAACATGTTAGGCATACTAACAATGCAAAAGTACCATAAATGGTATAAGAATGCCTTTTCTTTTTTCATTCGCCGTCATAGTTGAAAATTAGATATTTAAAGTCTCTCCTCATAGTTGAAAGTTAGATATTTTGTAAAGTCTCTCCTGCCGGTGAATAGATTGTGCGGCACTGAGCTTATAGTTGTATAAATAAAACTAAACCTGTAATTTAAGTAGAATTAAGTGAAATCTTTTCTATTTTATAGTGATGATAAATGCGTAACTTGATATAGTTTTCCGGTTAACTTTTTCACGTTTTTTTTTGTTTGATTCTTGAGTATTTTGTGTTCTTAGGCTTAAACAAGTTTCGAAACTTAAAGTATCATTTTAAAGGAGTTTCGAGCACCTACAAGGCGAAAACTCATCATTTAAAGCAAGGAAATAGGCGAAAACCTGATATCAAAGTGTTATGCCGCCGTAACAGTGGCGCTGTGATGCCATATTAGTGCACCAACCAGTGCCCCGGAGCTAGAACTATGGCCCATCACACTACTTAGGAATAATATTTTTCATTCGTCATAATTCCGTTGTCTAGAGGTGGAGATTGATTTTTAATTTAGTTTTCTATCGTTGATAACTCTTTCATTTAATTTAAAGATATGCTTTCTTTATTTTCTTTTAATTTTTCTCTAATTTAGTTTAGTATTCCAAAACCCTTTCTTTCATATTTGTGTTTAAAAAAAAATTTGGCTAATTGATTAAGACGAATCCACTGGACTTAATTGCTCACTCTTTACTCAATAACGATCATTAAATAGCAAGGTTTTAATTTAATAGTCCACTAGTAATCCATCAGGTGATGATCTCCTGAATTTCTATTATAAATTAGATCGACGGTAGACGATACGACGGTAATATTCTCTCTTTATTTAAAAAAAAAATGCATGTAGAACCCATTTATTGTAAAATATGTAATAATTGACCAATTTTCTTTTAGCATTTTTCAGAACCAAATGATCATCAGTTCATCATCATCAACATTGAGCACCAACAAATATTAAATCCAACAAAAATTCATGTGATGAAAGCAAAACTTCACTTATTAGTCTTTTTTACATTTTATGTATTTAATTAATTGGTAACGGTTTGTTTTGAAAACGATTTTCTATACAGAAGCTTATATTCAGCAGATCATACATAACAAAAATTTGTAGAGATACTCTATATAATATATTAATTTATGCACGAATAAATTAATCAAATTAATTTATTTACCTAGCGAACGATTAAGTCGATAATTTGAGTTCTTTTATCACGAACGTTCCTCGCTCCAAGCTTGTTTAAAATACCCGAATCTTTCTCGTTAATTACTTGAATCTACGAAGACATGTGTGTGGGCACACCTGAAACAAAACGGGATACCAACACATGCACGGCGTGAAATATAAGAGAAAAACTTTTCTTTCATCACTCTATAAAATCGGCCACACTATGTTAGGGAGAGCAAAAATTGTGTTCTTTAATTTTCTGCAATCTCCTATTTATAGAGTAGACGTCAGACTCCAAGATGAAGTCTAAACTTTATCTCTAAGATAAAACTTGATGATTATCTTCTACTTTTAATTGATTTTGGACACAAAATCCACTCTTTTCCTAATCCTATATGGCCAGCCACAACAAGGAGATCGCTCCCTATAGTAGGCGCAAATAGCAGGTAGGGAAGAAGGCAAAATTCTACTTTTATCCTATAGTATAATTTTGACTCAAATTTAAATTCTAATTTAAGTCAAACTTAATATTATTTGGATTGCAAATGGACAACTTATTAAATAAGTCAATTGGATAACTTAGAGAGCAATCAACTGAATCCTAGAAGGATTCACACTACATTGACCGTGTACACCACGTGGACACCTCTATATGTGTGTTTCAAAATTCAAATTTAAATAATCACATTACTTAATTTATAATTAATTCTCAATTAATTATCATTGAGCGTTTTATTTTTAGAATTCCATAAATCTAAAATTTTCATTTTGCCCTTAGTGTCTTGTCGAATTACAAGAACGATGCGGGGACTCATAGACCTATAATTCTGAGCTCTAATAAAATTAATAATTAATTAAACTCCTTCATTAATTAATTAATTCTATTAATTCTAAAAGTTACTGTGCTATAAACTTGAAATTGCACTCTCATAATTATAGACATAAATTACTTCTAAATTGTGAAGTTTCCATTTGATATAGTCATTACATACAGATCAATCCTCCATAAATAATTCATAATTAGAGCTAGGTGAAATCCGTTAACCTCTCTAATTACATCTTTATCCTTGAGTACCATTGATTCTCTAATGGATAGTGATTCATAAAACAAATTCATTAATCGAAGCTCCTACTAGTCTAAGTATCAAATCAATCATCAACAGAATTATTTATCTGCTTCTTTCTCAATAACAAATGGATTCCATCTTGTATGTTAACATTCTCAGCTATCCATTCCTTATTGAGAAAGAAGCAGATAAATTAACAAATAGGAGTCATCTAATAACTCAGGATTAAGATCGTTCTATGTATGACCATCTGTAGACTCAATTAGAATTTCTAAACTTAACAGAAATGATCAGAAATTCATATCTTATCTGTGCTCCTTTTCCACACAATCTCATTATGCATAATACACTCATTTAATATCTTGTTATATTAAGAGTGCAGATAATACCATTCCATTCTAAATGGGAATGACATGTATTAATAATGTTTTAATTAAATATTTCAAACTTTAATTAAATTCATTACGAACATGTCATGCCCCGGGCAGGGGTCTGTGACATGGAGGCTCGATTAGGAGTTAAACATTTAATAAATAAAACCAACAGTAAAATATTAAAGAAATCTCCAAACAAGCCCCACTATTTTACCGAAAATAAATTACAAGAACATCTCAAGAGGCTAAAACTCCTGCCTCTAACACTGTTTAGGGCTACACCCACAGGATCTTCAGTATTGTACATACATAAACATGTAAATAACATTACAGACATCAACCACAGTCTAGTAATCCAAATATCATAGTTTAAAGAATTTATAAATTCTTACATTTGTACACCAGGAGGATGAGCACAATCCTCTCTTAATCAGGTGGTAGCACCTCAGCTACTCCACACTGTTCTTAGAGTCGCCTGGTTGGAGTTTAACATTTATGAAATAATAAAACGTGAGCGAAAGGCCCAGTAGGATATATTTTGAAATAACTTTATAAATAATAAATAAATGGTAAGTAAGTAAATAAATAAATAAATGAATAAATATGACATTCAGTTCCAACACAACAGCTGAAACCTCACATCCTTTTTCTCAAAAGAAATATAACTGAAAATCTCCATATTACAGGCATCAGCAAGTAATTTATACTATGATAAATTACTTACACAACTGCATGCACAAGCCTAATCACCCCCGGGCCGGGTTTCGGGTTCTGTTCCCCAGGATGCACTCTCCACATCCTATCTAGGCCATCAGCCAGTTTACCGATTCATAAGATCTCTTGTCTTAAGAAATCATTCATTAAATTTTATGAAACAGTTCATTATAATTCCAATAGCTAAAATCATGCTATTGTTTTTAAACATGTTTTTCTTTCGCAAATATGCCCTTTCTTTAAAATATTTCAAAGGCCAAAACTCTTTGAAAACAGGCTCACAAAGAAAGGGGTAAGGAATCCTACCTCACAAGTACCAAACATGTGGCTAGCGTTACTCTATTCCGGCTTTCGCTTCCTTAAGCCCCTCAATCCGAGTCCTCAGCTAGCACTGATACAAAACAACACTTTAGGATCCAATTCTCATTCCTAAAGCAATTCAATCTCAATTATATCCTTTGATTTCCTATTAGTGCACCATAGTTCAATTACCGATTTCACAAACCATTTCATGATTCAAATCATCATTCCAAGGGTTTTCAATCTCAAAACACGGATTAAAGATGCTAATCCATCTACTCCAGGTCCCCAAATGAAGCTAATTTGGGTTCTCCTCGAAAACTGAGGTCAAAACAGGATTTTTCAAAAAAAATAAGGTCAAACCCAGTGTACACCGGTCGACCGGTGATAGTGTAGTGCAACACCACCGGTCGACCGGTGGTGTGCAATTCGGTCGACCAAATAGGTCACCCGGTGGACTCAATGCAGTATGGTCGACTGCATAGGTCGACCGGTCCGGTCGACCGCACAGGTCGACCTATGAAGAACAGCAGGGCAAGGAAAACCCGCGGAATCAGCCCAAAAACCTGTAAATCTGAGTCGAAATCGAGATATCTCAAAGGGAAACTACTAGATCCGGGATCTAAGTACTAAATCAAGTCTAAAGAACCCAAGATCTCCAATTTCTACCATAGTTTTACTCAAAATCCCTCAAAATCTATTTCAAACCAAAAATAAGTTTCTAAATCCGAAAATCCAAGAATTAAGAGAGGTTTTTCAGAAATCTTACCTCGAATCCTTCTCTTGGTGTTGAAAACTTTCTTGAAATTTTCCTTCAGTTTGAAATCCGATTTGATTCGATGAAGATTTTGAACGGGAGCGAGAGAGAGAGAGTGAGAGAGAGAGTGTGTGAGAACGAGAGTG